CAGCTGTCGCGGCAGTTTGAAAGTGCAGAGGGAGACGATGCAAGAAATACGCGTTTGCTGGAAGAAGTGACAAGTGCGTGGCTCAACGAGATGTTTCCAGCCCCCGCAGAAGCCCCCCTAAGTCTGAGGCTTACGCATGCGAGCAGCCGCCGAAGCAGCAGCAGCACAAGCAGCAGCGACAGCAGCAGCAGGGGGAGGCGCAGCAGTCAAAGCGACGACGAGGAGGAGAGCAGCAACGAGGATGCCTCCCTTTCAGGTTCCTTCTCCTGGCTCGATGAACTCGATGTGCGCAGTTAGAGGCACTGCCTCGAGCTACGTGCTCACACACTCAGAGTGCAGAGAGATAGATTGAGATAGACAAAGAGAGAGATACAGATAGATAGAGAGATATCAATGGAGAGATAGATGCAAAGAGATGCGGAGAGCGCCCTCATAGTGAGGCTTCTTTTGCGGCAGCTGAGGGATGCGTCTCTGAGAGGGAGGATACGCTGCAGCGTGACGGCGTCTGTTTCCTTTGACAGAGCCACAATGCATTGTGTGGAGGACCGAGTAGTAGCTCTCTCTCCAACAGGCGGAGCTGTCCGATCCTGTGGCTGTGTGGTTTTGCTCGTCATTGCAGCTGCATGTGTGAATGTGTATACATATGCAATATGCATGTGTACATACATCTACGTCTATGTATATGTATAGAGGCACATGTATGTTGTAGCTGTATTTCCATATGTGTCTTTTCCAGGATTTGGCGCTGTGCGACGGCAGTTGGCGCTGTGGGGGGGCACAAGCGCAGTGGGAGTCACTTTTAGATGCAAACTGGCGACCACAGTGTGAATTCGGAAGGTATGGCAGTCGTAAAAAGCTCCTTTTGAACGCATACCCTCGCTTCTCAAGCACACCTACCAGCCAGCGCAAGAGAGACTCTTTCTCTCTCTTTCTCTTTCTCTCTCTCTTTCTCTCTCTTTCTCTTTCTCTCTCTGCTTTCTGGCCGTGTGCGCCTCACGGTGCAGGCGTAGCCGCTGTAGGATGAAGGGGTGGGTGTGTATAGTGATCCATTTATCCCTTGGAGAGGAACAAGGGATCAATGTACATCCGCGTACTGAGTTTTTTTTGTTTTTTTGTTTTGTTTTGTTGTGTGAATCGTTTGGGGGCACATGCACAGATATTTGGGGGCCTCCAACGTCGAGACAGGTATTAAAGAATGCGGCTTCATAGGGGACGATTTTGTTGTGGCGGCAAGCGATGATGCCTCTGCGTGTATCTTTAGACTCCTCGATGGTGCGAAGAATTACTTCCATACATCAAGGCTATAGGGCCTGCTGCGCTTTCACCTGTCTCTTTTCGCCCTTCATTCCCCCAATCAAAAACATCACGCCCGAGCATGCGTTTGTGCCTTCTTTTCTTCGTTTTCAGGCGTTCGTTACCCTCTCTATCTCTTTTTCTCTCTATGTCTACCTCTCACTCTGTTCTCGTCCTAGCGCTTTCTCTCTCTCCACCTCTCCCTTCTGTCTCTCTCTCTCGCTATCCTGTCCTGTGTCTGTCTTGTTGCTTGTGTCTCTCAACTGTCTCCTTTTCTTTGTGTTGCGCAGCGCGTGCCTTTTGTTGTGCGCTTCTGATCCGTTGTGTGCTCCTACGGGGTCCTCTGTTTCGTGTGCTTGTGGGGGTTCTGCCGTTCTCTCGAGTGCATTGCCGTTTGTCTTCTGCTTCTTTTTCCCTTCCTCTCCCTCCACAGTGGGCTGTGCTGCCACCAACGGAGCTGCAGCGCCTCCCCTCTGCATGCGTGAGTTTTCTGCTTCTGCCCGTTAAAAGAAGCCCCTCACTTTTGCTGCTCGTGGAGGCTGGCTTGCGCTCTGCTTAGGTGAATGCGTCAGCGTCTTGCGAGGGCATGACACCCCCCTAAATTGCGTTCAAACAAACCCACAACGCCCCTGTCTCGCCACTAGCGGCATCGACAACTACATCAGACTGTGGAAGCCAGGAGGCCAAGAGGAGATGACGCCTGTACGCTTGTTTTCCGTGCTATTCTTGACAGAGGGTTGCTATATGTAGAGATTTCTATGTATATATATATATATATATATATATATATATATATATATATATATGTTGTACACTGTGGAGTCTCCAGGCTGCACGGGTGTAGGGTGCAGCACTCTTTAAGCTCGAGACTTCATGCCTCGCTTTCTCTGGCCAGTCACGTAGAAGTGTCTACGCGTTTCGATGAAGGCATAGAGAGAGAGACAGCGCGGTGTGAACACGCAGATGGATGTTTGAATCCCCTCTGTGCGCATGGCCCTCGCTCGCATGGGGGGTGTTACAGAAAAATCTGGAAAAATTCTTCATGCGTTAGACAGTTCGCATCATATGCCCTCCGTGCATGTTCGATGGGAAGCGATTCATCTCTACCTGAGCTGCAGCATGCACTTGGATACAGTCACTTCTCTCTCTCTTTAGCCTTCCACGACCTCACGCAGTGTACAGCCGACCCGGCGCCTCCTTTGGGAAACACATTTTCTCCCTCCAAACGGTTGCCGTATGTGGGGGCACGTTGGCGTGCTTAGGTATATGTATATATATTTTGTGCGAATGCACCTACCATACATATATGTTATTGTGTGTGCATGAATATATATATATATATATATATGCGTGTATCTGTATGCACATATCCTTATATAAGTATCCGTATGTATTTGTGTGTATCTGTATATATTTGTGTGTACCTGTATGTAATAGTGTGCGTGTGTAATAGTGTGTGTGTGTAATAGTGTGTGTGTGTGTGTATCACTGCAAGAGACTGTGTAGATGTACGTATGTATGTATGTATGTGCTTGCGAGTCTTCAACCATGGCGGTGCATTCAAATTCGTTCTCGCAATTTGTTTTGTGGCGGTGGTGGAGAAAGGGCCGCGAAAGACTCTTTAAAACATCTTTCTGAGACGTGTGTTTTGTGTGGCTTGCATTTGCAGGACCTGATGATGGACAGGTGTGTGTGAACGCGCACGGCGCTATGGCCAGCTTAAATCTCTTGAAGAACAATGACACACTGACCACTAGTTCCTCTGCTGTTTTAGGGGCATGCGTAAATATGTATATGCATGCGCAAATATATGTACAACTTCGTGCACTCCCTTGCAGCAAGGACATATGTACACAATGTATAAAGCAGTGGCGTTGTAGCCGGCGCCTAGAGAAGCAAGTGGTGTTCGTGCATCTCGATGTGTGCAGTCACATTGACCAAGACGACTCAGACGGGCCGGTTAACCCTTGCGCACTTCAGTAGCTTCTCCAGGGAGGCGGGGCTGGGGCCAAACGCGCCGCAGGTGCATGCATGCACCTGCATGCACCTGCATGCATGCATGCAACTGCGGCGCGTTTGGGGGGCCTCCTAGGTGCCTCCTCTTGGGGGATATTCCACTCGCATTGGCTGTTTCTACGGGAAACTTTGACCGCTCTCGCGCATCGCGTCGGTCCTCTCTCTGCTGCTTGCGCGCGTCATCGCGCTCAGCGGTGCCCCTTCTGCCGTTGTGCTGTGCGGGGAAGAGCCAAGGAGCTCGAGGCTCCCTGCCCGTGTTTCTGTCTGCCCTGCACAGAAACACTGCGGCGGAGGCGCAAGCAGGGGCCCTTGGGGGTGGGTGGGATGCTGCATGTCGCCAGCATCAGAATGGAGCGCCTCTCTCTCGCAACTGGGAGTAGCTGCTGTAGTTCTCAGGCCTCATCGGCCTATAGAAGTAGAGGGGCGTAACTTTGAGGGGGCTGCTAGAAAGGGAGGTGGGGTGAAATCTTAGGACGGCGTTTAGGGTTCTGGAGTGAAGAGGGGGCGATTCGACTGAAAAGGACCGCCGTGCAGTCGGCGCTAAGGCCAAGGCGCTGCGTGGCAGTACGCTGAAGACGCATGGCATAACAGCCCGAATCTGCATGCACAGAGAAGTGCGCTTGGCTCCAAGATGGAGGCAGAGAGAGACAGAGAGCCTCCACAGCTTGCCCCTGGGAGGCGTTGCCTTCGTCTGTCGCCGATATCTGTGGCAGACGAAAGCAACGCCCTCTTCTAACGGCAACTACGCCCCCTTTTCCTCTCATTGGCTGCAAGTAGAAGCAGCAACCCCAGTAACGACAAACTAGCGCCTGCGGCACAGCGTTTTCTCTGCGGCAGGCGCTGCCACATCCTGTCTCCACGCAAGGGTGTCCACTACTACTACTGCTACTACTACTGCTGCTACTGCTACTACTACTGCGTTTCCAGGGGCACTCAGCCCTTCCCACTTCCTCGTCTTGCACTATTTTCTCTGTCGTCTTGCTCTATTTTCTCTGTCGTCTTGCACTATTTTCTCTGTCGTCTTGCACTATTTTCTCTGTCGTCTTGCACTATTTTCTCTGCGTCCACATGGGGTCCAGCAGCTCACCCTCCGCTCAGCGCGAGCATGCACATAAAAGGCATTCAGACACCTCTCGCACAACACCTTCAGTGCAAGAAATCTTCCATTCGCTGCTACGAGGCAGCATGCAAATGCATGTATTCCCCAGCGCTTCTTGCTTGCGTTCGGTTGCGGAGACATGTCCTGCGCTGTCTACCGTCTGCTGCTAACCCTTTCGAGTCGTTCTCCATTTACAACCCTCTCCCCCCGCAGACTCGCTGCTGAGCCGGGAGGCCCCTGCAATAGCAACCTCTAGGGCGCCTTCCGCAGGTGCCACGGAGAGACTCGGAAACAGTCTAGGCAAGAGAGCTCTTTTTCATTTTGGCCTCAATGATAGCGTCGATGGGGTTGCGCTTCTTCTGCGTCTGGGCTTTCCTTAACAGCTCTCTAGGCTTCTCTCTCCGATGGCCTTTTTCCCTGAGTGTGCGGCGCGAAAAACACCCCAAGGAGCCGTCGATACAAGCCACCCCCTCGAGATGAATGCAGCGGCAGAGCAAGTAGCTCTCTGCGAAGTCCGTGCGACGGCTTAGCAAAGATGCCAGGAAAGCAGGCGAGCAGGCCGAGAGAAAACACGAGGGCAGGGTAGTGTTTCTTACTTCTTCTTCGCCTCCACGGGGTATTCGGGTTTCGCAATAGCCCTCAGAGCCTCAGCGCTTAGGAGACACTGCTGCTGATCCTGCGGCTCCTGCGGAGGGAGATACTCGCGCCACTCTGCCTCTTGCTGCTCTTGTCTCTGGAGTAGAGGCGTCAGATCTGGGTAGAGGATGCGCGTGCTGGAGGGCCTTTCCCCAGAAGAACAGAAAGCAGTGCTTCCCGCTTCTGACCTGCTTAGCTTTGAGCTGTCTGCTCCCATTGAGCTCCGCGCGCGCTGCCACGTATGCAAACACATACATACACACAAAAACACACATACACACACATACATACAAACACATACATACAAACACATACATACAAACACATACATACACACAAATACATACATACAAACACATACACACATGGATACGGGCATACCCATTACACACATACTTACAAGCACACCCAAGTGATGGGGTCCCCTCTACACGGCACATGAACGACGACAACTAGCGCAGCAACGGAGTTTCATGCAGAAAAAATGCAGTAGACCTTCATGCAAAAGAAAAATGCCCTCTCGCAGCGATCTGAAGCCTCCTTTTTTCTCTCTGAGAAGGCGCTAACCCTGTTAAGGCCCCTCGGGCTTCCTTCGGGGCAGAGGAGCGGCTTCAATGAAGGGGGACGAGGCCCCTCTGATTCAAGGTCCACTTCCCACGCGTCCTCCTCTTCTCGCGCGCGCTGCTGCTGCTGCCAACGAGCCTGCTGCAGCTCGTCTGGTTCTGCTGCATCCGCCGCAGGAGGGGAGGGGCCTGGAAGGTCGCTTGCGCCAGCCGAGAGATCTGCGTGGAGAGTGCGTGGCAGGGAGAGCAAGGCGCAGGCAGCCAAACAAAGCATCACGCGAGCCTCTGAAGAGAGACACTAAGTCACACATCTAATCGGAAGTAGCCTGAGATAAAAGCGAGAGGGGGAGCAACTGCACCGCCAGAGAGAACGTTGCACACGCCTTTTGTTAGGCCCCCTGCGCAGTCCTGTGCCGTGTAAGGCCTTTTTCCTTCCGGGCAGTGACGGGATCCTACCGTCTTCTGACGCTGCTGCCACATCGGAAGACGCCTTCTCTGCTGGAGCGTCTCTTTGTCTTTCCTGAGGCGCAGAGCGACACATCGCGTGCCCCACAACGGCTGGCAGTGAACTGCGCGGAACGCCTTTCCCAGCCTGCTGTGGTCCCCCCCATGACAGCCGCAAGGCGTAGCGGAGCGCTGCTGCCACGGAACGAGGAGAATTTTTCGGCATGCCCCCCTTCGCCCCCCCTCCCTCCCGCAGTAGCGTGTGCTTGCATCAGCAGTTCAGTCGCTCTGCCACCAAGGGGGTTTGACGACCTGCGCGGCGTTAAGAAGAAGACCGCCGCTCTAGGGGGTATATTGGGCGCGATCCAGAGTGCCCCCACCCCTCCCCCCTCCCCACACAGGAGCATCTCGCAACAGACACCATGCGTCTGCGCGTCGTGCAGTGCACTGACCTTCCATGCTCTAAATCGACTCCCCTCATCTCCCAGGGGGGCCCCACAAAGGAGGCCCCTCCTCGGCGCTCGGGTCAGTCGGCTCGCTTTAGCGACGCGATCCGACGCCTCGAGCTGCGGCGCAACAAGGTCAGGCACAGGCTCAGACTCCCCAGTGCAGCGGCTCGCCACTGCTGAACGCGAAGGAGCAAACGGGCACGTACGCAGAGAGAATGCGCATAGAGTGGGGAGGAGGCCTACTTGTCGCTGAATGGCTTCCAACGCAGGAGGGGCAGCACCCGCCTGCGCGACTTCCCTGCGAGTCGTTCCGACGCTTGACGTTTGCAACGCCTTCAGACCGGTAGGCAAGAGCGCCTCTCGCTGCCGATCCTGTAGCTCAAGAGCTTCGATGAAGGCCAGATCCTCTCCCGACTCCTCTGGCTCTGCTGTCTCCCTTTCGGCCTCTTCGTTGCCAGAGCACCCACCGTCCCCTCGACTCCTGGAGCTTGAAGCCGCGCTGTCTGCGCGCTTCGCGCCAAAGATGCGCTTGACCTTGTCGTACCGCTTAAGTCTGCTGTGTATGGCAGCAGAGGACTGAATGGACAGACAGCGCAACTGCACAGACTGCGCCTCTCCGTCAACGGCCGCGACTCGCGCCGCCGCACTCACCAACATGCAAGCAAAGCCCCAAAGCGTTACCCTGCATACATGCATGCATGCATGCATTCGCATGTGCATAGGGAGAGGAGCACCTGGTCAGCAGTCTCCTCTTCAGGTCGCAATCGCCGCACAGCCTTCACCGCTTGCAGCAGATTCTCTCGCTGCAAGAGCTCCTCCACCCGCTGTCTTTGCAGCTGCAGAGACGCGGGATGCACCCGGCTTCCAAGAGCCATACCCCCAAGAGCCTGCGCGGGAAACAAGTTGCACGAAGATTATCGAGGTGCTCCTTGTTGCTCGGCTAGCTTGCGGCCTTTTTAGGATGATAAAAAATCTGCTTGCCTGCAGAAGGGCAGAGGCAGTCAGCTAAAGGCAGTCAGCTATAGCCTGCCGTCCTAAAACTGCGCGCTGCCGAGCGAAGCAGACGCTTGCTACGCCAGGGAGATGCAAACAAGCTCTGCCTGCTGCCTTTTCCCGCATCGTCGCTCTACTCCTCTTTGGAAGCCTGGCTCATCCGTGCTGCTGTGAGGCAAGCTACAAAATGCGTAAGCTCCGCTCTAGGGCAACTATCCGCATGCCCACTAGCGGTTCATACGAAGCTCGCGAATATTTTTCACTGCTCCAGATAACGGAGTCGCTCTAAAAGGAGAAACGCAGGTCGCGTTCCTCGTGCATGCGGCGCGAGTTCGGCTTTACGGGGGATGTGCGGCATGTGTCATAGACAGACCTGTATCCACTCTGGCTGACGGACTGTTGAAGCCTCAGCACCGCCTTCTTTGTCGTCCTTCAATTCTACAACGTCCAGTCTCGAGTATCCACCCCGAGGCTTAGGGATCACTGAAACGGGGTCGGAAGGCGTCGGGTGCCGAGATAAGTCAAACCGTGGCAAAGGGGGAGGGGGTCTCTGCTGCTCTGGAATGCTGCAGCAACACATCGCATCAAGCTGCAGCAAACAGCTCTGAAGATCCAAGCCATGTCACATACACACATACGCATACATACACATACACATACATACACATACACACACACATACATACACATGCACATACACATACACATTCATACACACATACACATGCACATACACATTCATACACATTCATACACACATACACATACACATACACATATACATATACATACACATATACATACACATACACATACATACACATACACACATACACAACATACACAACATACACATACACATACACAACATACACAGACACACATACACACACACAGGCTACAAAAGGCCTCTACTTAGTGAGGCGTGAGGGAGCTGGTGAAGCCTCAAGAGACGCATGGCTCCCCAGTGCGCTTTTCTTGTCAGCACCACTCTAAGAGCCTCGCTGCCTATCCGTGTCAGAGGGAAGCGCACTCTTGGGGGTCAAGTGGCAGCCACTCAAAGCGCCGCTGAGCAGTAGGGCTCTCCAAGGGGATAGCTTCATCCAGCTCTATCTGCAGACAGACAGTGCCAAAACGGCGCGCATATGCAGGCGCAGGAACAGAAGTTGAATCCCAGAGACGGCAGTAGCTGGGGTAGGTAGCTGGGGTGGGAATTCAGACTTTGTTGCATGTAGGAGGCTTCCAATGCCTGGAAGTTGGCACCTCGGGATCGACTATATTAAGGAGCTTGTTGATGTCACTGGTGGAAAGCCTAGAGAAAGCGAGCCTTACACAGGAGTCAAGAGCCGGTTGCGGAGCGTGGGCAGCTGGACGATGCAGCATGCGACGGCCCTCCTTCTGCTGCTCCTGCGCATTTTCCGTTGCTTGTGGTGAAGGCTCAGACCCTTCGTCTTCCTCTGCCATCCATTTGAACTGTCCAGCAAGCTCCGGAGGCGTGTCTTCCTGAAGAACAACCGAGATCGGGAGAAACAGCCGCTCCCAAATGAAAGCGACGGCAGGTTGGATCCAAAGAGCAGGAGCATGCGCTCACAAAGCCCACATGTAAGTCAATGCAGAGGCACACAGGACCCTGAAGGACGATTGCTCGCGCCGCTGCTTACCAGAGAGAGCCTTTCCTGCTTTTGCTGCAGCCGCTGCTTTCTAGAGAGAGCGCCTTCCTTCACAAGTTTCACACTTTTCCGTATCCAGAGGGGCATATGCAGGGCCTGGAGTGGCGCACCAAGCAGAAGGCAGCACCGTACGAGCCAGCAACCCATAAAAACCTCGCTGCCATCTGCAGAGGTACATCTTCTCCTCGCAGAGGCAACAAAAGCAGCAGCGGCAAAAGCAGCAGCGGCAAAAGCAGCAGCAACAAAAGCAGCAGCAACAAAAGCAGCAGCAGCAAAAGCAGCAGCAAAAGAAGCAGCAAATAGCACCCGTGCCAGGCGAATCTCCCGTTGCATCTCCAGCTTCTTTTTCCGCTGAGCTGCCAGCAGGCGCTGGCCTGTGAGGACCTGTATGGACACATGCAGCAAAAAGCCTAACTCCAGTCAACTAGGCTCTCGATCTGGAATCCTCTAAATGGAAGTACACCCTCTGTGGAGGCAGCCGTCGCACTTCTCCTGAAGCCGAAGAACAGGCCGAAGAAGCGAGTTCCTCCGCTGCAGCAGCAGCCGATGGCGCAGGAAGATGAAGGCAGGGCGCTTCCGTCCGTTGGTTTTGCTGCTGCAGCTGCCCCCCTCCATGGGCAGCCAGCAGCAGCTGCTCCTGTTGTTGGCGAAGGCGAATGAAATAGCGCAGTAACGTAAGAGCAGCCTCCAGTTCCCTTTCTCGAGCCACAGCGGGGAGAAGCGAAGAGCTCCAAAAGGGCAGCGACGTGTGCTCTCCTGTCTGGACACCTCCCCTGAAATTTCTCCCCGAAGCCTTCTCGCGCTCTCCCCCACCAGGGCTGCTGCTCTCAGTGTTGCACACTTGAGCCAACGCCCGAAGGTGAATTCTCGCAAGCTGCACACAGACGCACAGCCACGAAGCCTACAGAGAAGTGCCTGAAGCCTACAGCCTGCATGCATGGAGAGACAGACTAACAAATGGGCATCCACGCACAAGCAGACAAGCAAAACGCAAGCAAAGTGCACACACACAGACTAACAAGCGAACTCACGAACAAACAAGCAAAATGCAAACACAGACTAACAAGACTAACAAACGGACTCACAAACAGACAAACAAACACACAGAGACACATCCAGTAGCCGCGCACGAAGAGAGGCAGCAAGCAGTAAAAATGCACGAAGCAAAAGGGATCCACAAGCGAAATTCCCGCCTCGTCAAGAACCTACTGAGTGGAGCCCCTGCAGCAAGAGCAGCACGTCTTCCGTCCGAGGCTCCTGAGTTTCTGGAGATGCCGCTGCTTTTCGCTGCTGTGGGGGGTGTTGCTGAGGCTTCTGCTGGTAGCGCGAGCATCTGCTGCTTTTGCTGCATGTGCGGCACACCTGCATGCATCATCACCCCACAATGAACATCGGTAGGAACGGCCTCCTGAGGGCAGCAGGTGCGTTTGCAGCGGAAGAAAACAGGGAAGCGACACTGCAGCCTCCGGCGATGTTTCAGCTGCCCGCACCAAAGATCCCCCCTCGCTAGCTCGTCAATCGACAACTCCTCCTCTACGTTCTCTCGAGCGCAGCTTACAAGCGCCTCCGGAACGCTCAAAGCCTCGCGCAGTCGCTTCGACGCCTCGCGCACTTTTGTGGGAGACAGCTGCGGCAGACGAGGGGTCTCCTTGGCTCTGCGCACATTCGAAACTCTAAGCCCTCATTGCTCCCTTTCCGACACATCTAGTTCCCAGTCTGCCCAGCCAGGGAGACACACAGAGCGCCAAAAATTTCTTCGCGCCGTGCGAATTGGCGTGCTAGAAGCTCTCGTTTCCCGTGCATGCTTCTGCCGCTTTTAAGGCTTTAAGCGAAGACCCTAAAGCTGACATTTGCTTAGAAAGAATTATAATGGGGCACTCCATCTTGGCCAGCGTCAGCAGGGCGCTACTTGGCGTCTCCGGAGGGCTGCCGTCCCCAGGTGTACGTACACCTGAGGAGGGCGCTGTCATAGCCCAGGAGAGCGAAGCAGCGACGGCACGCAGGCGGCGTTTTAGCTGCTCGAAAACATACAGAGAGAGACACGCAAACTGCGCTGAATTTTCTGCCTCCGAAGCAGAGCAGCTGCCGGCTGGACGCCTAGCTCTTCGCGTTCCCCCACTTTCTCCAAATCCGGAGGCATGCAGCCAGCGTTCTTTCCCGTTTGAGACGCAGCTACACGACTGCCCTCAAAAGGGCCCTTGCCTGGCTACTGCAACCCTTATTTTTCACGCTTCAGAGCACTACACAAGAGGCGCACTTCGGATCCTAAGACTGGTTTGACGTTGGTATGAGCGACTTCTGCGGAAAAGGGTGCAGCGGCCGTTGCAGCGAGTTGCTGTACAAGCTGCACCAGCTGCTCTGACAAAGAGGCAAGAGCTCTGCTGCTTGCTGCACGAAGCCGTCTCTGGGATCGCTCGACACATCTGGAGCTGGCGATGGTCATGCGAGAGGCAGGGGATGCCGCTGCTGCTGCTGGTGATGCTGCTGCTGCCGATCCTGCTGCTGCTGGTGATGCTGCTGCTGGTGATGCTGCTGCTGGTGATGCTGCTGCTGCCGATGCTGCTGCTGCCGATGCTGCTGCTGGTGATGCTGCAGGCAGCGATTTCCCTTGGGTGTGCTGCAAGGGTGTAGAGACACCGGGTGCAGCGGCTCGGCGTGTGGCGCTAAAAGACGGCCTCTGGCTCTGGGGGGGCCCCCTGCTGCTACTGCTGCTGATGATTTTGCCGCTGAGGCTGACAGGGGGGGTGGGCCTAACGCGGGAACCCTTGTTTCTTTTGCGGGAGTCGTTCGCGCTGCTGCGCATTGCGGCAGCATCCCGCTGCACGAAGCGGCAGACGGCGAACTGTCTTGACTCGCCTCGACCACAGCAGCCACACGCGAAGGCAAAAAGCAGGGGACTAACTCTCGCCGCTGCTTCTGCTGCAGCACGGCGAGCCCTCGCTGCCGCTGCGCCATGGCCTGAAGGCACGGCTAGCCATCGGGTGAGGGGGGCCCCCTGGGAAGCGACTCGCAGCATCAGTTGATAGCGGAAGAATCGGCTGCTCCATGCCGCACCCTCGCACGCCGCCGACCAGGGGGCCCCTCTTTTCCTTCTTCTGGGGAAAGACTTGAAGAGGGGCCCCGGGGGTGTTTATTCCAAGGGAAACCTCTCGCACGCCGCGTGGCGGCGCTGCCAAGGGACGGTGCAAGGCATACTCCTCCCAGCTGGGAGCAGCCGCAAGACTCGACGCGCTGCTCGCCAAAAAAAGTCTCAGCGGAAATGCCGAAGGGTATAGTCCTGCCAACACGTCGGAAGAGCGCCAAAAAGCAAAACTAGCGGAAAAATCCCCGAAGAGGCCCCACAACGCTCATTTTGCACCCATTGTTGAGGGGCCCCCCGCTACAGAGGGGGCCCCTCAACAATGGGCACAACGCGGGGGTAGCCCCGGGGCTTCGATTCCTCACTCTTGGGGTGTGGGGCCCCGTGCCTCGAATTGAGGCTTTGTTTTCGCGTTTCTTCTTCTTGCTGCAGCTTTTAGAGGGAGTCTTCTGCGTATAGAGCGAGAGTTCACTCGCTCTGTGCGCCCTTGCCGCGGTTGGAGCAGCAAGACTACACCCCTCGGGGAGAGGCTGGCGTGTTTTTCGTATTTTTGAAAGGGAGATCTGGGCAGAAGAAACAATGCCGAAGAAACAGGGAGCACCGAAAGGAGCGGCTTCAGCAGCCTGCGCTGCTTCTGCCTCGGATGCTCGAGCTCCTGCCGACCCCGAGGCAGCTGCCAAGCGGCTGGACAGGCGTTTCGTTGCTGCAGCAGATCCTCGCTTCGCAATCAGCAAGGAGGCGCGGAAGCAGCAGCGCGAGCACAAGGAGATTCAGCTGCGGAGGAAGGGGCTCGGGGGGGGCAGCTCAGCAGGCAGAAGGCGGATGGACGGCACCCTTGAGGAGGAACGAGGAGGCATTTCGGCGACTGCCTCCAAGCGGCAGGCGAAGCTTGAGGCTGCAAAGGACGCAGAGCAGAGGGCTGCACGGGCAGAAGGGGGGGGGGCCCCTGCTGAGACACCTCCCGACTCCTTGGTGCTGGATAGCCGCTTCTCTCGCATCCTCACGGAGCGCCGCTTCCTTACGGGGAGGAGCCTCAGCAGCGCCAAAGTCGATAAGTTCGGCAGAACTGAGAAAAACCGCAGAAAGGAAACGAAAGGCGACACTGCTGCCGATGGCTCTGGGGAGACTTCCACAGCCCCCGAGCGCCCCTGCGAAGAATTGGCTGCCAAAGTTGCGCGGCGGGAGCTGCTGCAGTTGTACGCTTCCGCGGAAGAGGCAGCGACTGCAGGCACGCCTTCGGCTGCTGTTGCCAGCGGCAACGACGACGGCGCAAAAAGTAGCAGTGACAGCGAGAGCAGCAGCAGCAGCAGTGACGAGGAGGATGCCGACGCTGCTGCGTTGTGGGATACTACTGCAGATGCTCTGATGGTATGTCAGCACAGGCGTTTAAAGGCTTAAAAGGGAGCCTCTGCTTCGGGTGTCTAGACAGGCTAGAGTCTCCGCGGCGGCAGAGCAGGGCACAGTCTCTGTCTCTGAGTCTCGCATTTTTCCTGTGCCAGATTTTGTGGGGGGCTGCTCGGAATTTGACGAGGTGCCCCCCTTATTGCGTGCTTTTGCGCGGCAATGCCGTTGCCCCTTCCTGCCTTGTGTATTTCTGCATGTCTGTCTGTCTGCTGCTGCCTGCTGCCTGTGGCGTAGAGCGAAGAGGTGTCTTCGCGCTTGGCAATCATGGGGCTGGACTGGGAAGCAGTGCAACCGACGGACTTGTTGCTGCTGTTTCAGCAGTTCCTGCAGAGCGAGGCGTCATCGTCGACGGGGGAGGCTGCAGAGGCAGGAATGACAGAGAGTGGCTCCCGCGTTCTGCGCGTGCAAATTTACGTGTCGGAGTTTGGCAAAGAGAGGATCGAGCTCGAAAAAATCAAAGGGCCCACGGTGGTAGGCCTCCTGTGTCGAAGAATTTCTGTTTCCTGCCTGCCTGCTGGCAGCAGCAGCAGGAGTAACAGCACGAGTCGTAATAGTAGTAGTAATAACAGCACGAGTCGTAATAGTAGTAGGAGTAACAGCACGAGTCGTAATAGTAGTAGGAGTAACAGCACGAGTCGTAATAGTAGTAGGAGTAACAGGAGTGCTAGTAATGATAGTAGTGGTAGTAAGAGCACTAGTAGCACTAGTAGTAGTAGTAACAGCACGAGTAATAGTAGCAGAACAAGTAGTAGTAAAAGCACTAGCAGCACTAGCAGTAGTAGTAACAGGAGTACTAGTAATAATAGCCGCGGGAGGAGTCATAGTAGTAGTAGCAAGAAAGCGAGCGTCTGGAGTTTGGGGGCAGAGGGCGTAAGGCGTAGGGCTGCAGTTGCTGCGGATGAACTCAGGATTGGTCAAAGGCTGAGAGACTCCGGCGCAAGAGCAAAGGAGCATCCAAGGCTGCTACAGCAACGTCAGAAGATGCCGAGAGCAGCGATGAAGAGCAGCAAGTCTCTGCAGAGCAGGACAGAGCCATGCAGGAGGCACTGAGGAAGTATCAAGTCGAGCGGTCCAGGTACGCCATCTGTGTTTTCTCCTGACGCTTGCGTGTCTGCCCCTCCGTTTCTCATTGCAGGGAGCAGTTGGGCGCTGAGTCAGGTCTGTAGACACGCGCGAGCTGCTGGTGGTGTGATCAGCTGTCTGTCCGAGGACGTGACGGAGGCGAAATGTTGGAGACAAACTTTCCCTGGCAGGCGGGAAAGGGGGGAGAAAGGGGGATTTTGGATCTCGTTTCTTACGCCGTGTGCGGCAGAGGCGTCCAGCAGCAGCTGTCTATGGTGCGCCCTTGCTGCTTGCCTGCGCAGATACCACTACGCGATCGCGGAAGTGGACTCAGTCACTACAGCGAAGCGCTTGTATGACGAACTGGATGGCTGTGATCTGGCAAGTTTACGCGTCGAACCGTTGATCGATCCGCGCGCAGGGGCCCTTTGGGGGGAGGCGGAGCGGGGGCAATGGCGAGTTTTTTGCGAGATGCTGCTCCTTTTCCTCGTGGCAGCAGCTTAATTTCGTGTGCGAGAGGCTGCACAGGCGGGCAGGCAGGCAGGCGGGCGGGCAAGCTGAGCGTGAAACAGACGTGCACGTAGTACTGCTACACAGGCACGCGCATTTCTGAGGGCAAACGAGACTGCCTACTGAGTGTTGCTTGCGGATATAGGGCTTTGCCTTGAACGGGCTGGACTTGCGCTTCGTCCCTCACACCCTTGAACTACCAGCTGAGAATCTGATCTCGGAGGCAACCAGTGCTCACCTGTCTCCTGCAGCTGCCGCAGAGGCAGCGGAGCGGCTTGAGGCAGCCTCAGCCCGCAGCAGTAGCGCCCTCAAGCATTGCAAGGTGCAGCTTACATGGGATGAACCCCCTAGAGAGCGAACCAAGTTTCTTAGGCGCAAGTGAGTGTTCCTGCAGCTGCCGTTTTCCGCCGCTCTTGGCGGAGCCTTTCTGTGCTTCAGCATGTCAGCGCCACAAGTCTTGCGCTGCTGGTGGGGGAGGAAGCAAGGCTGCCGTCGCAGCTGCAGCCTTTCCTCTGCTGCCGCCTCTCCGGAGGAGGATTGGACCGAGAAGAGGCTTTTCACCTCCCGATCTCCGAAAATCGGTGCCTTCGAAATCCTTCCGTATGCTCTTTGCAGATTCAGCGCCAAGGAGCTGGAGGAACAAGACATGGAAGCGTTTCTGGCATCCTCAGATTCCGATGCAGAGAACGAGGCGCATGTCGATGAAATGCTTGGCTCAGGCGTGCCGCCCTCAAGGCTCAGCGACCAGCCTCCCTGGAAGAAAATCACGGAGGAGAATCTTGCCTCCTTCAGACAAGAGCTGCTTGGCGTATGTGTCTTGCCTGGATCTTTCTCAGACGTCGGGGTGTTTCGTGCGATCTCTCCTACCGAGGACGCTTCGCCTGCGACACCCGCACTCAGCGCACAGCGGCAACGTGCAGGTGTCTCGGGTGTTTCTTCTCGCGCCTCGGGGCAGGGGCTGGTTCTGCTGCTGCGTGCTCGAGACGCTGCTTGCGCTGCGCGCTCTCTCTTCCCTCTGCGCAGGATCTCGCCGATGCCTCAGACCCTTCTGAGCCCTCTGACGCGGAGGCGGCGTCCAAAGGCAGCACGAGCGGTAGGGCCTTTTTCAAGAAAACGTCGCATCCAGAAGAGCAGGAACCGCGGTGACTGCTGACTCGCGGCACTTGGGTGGCATCGACGTGTGCCCGATGAGTCTTGGGAGTCGCCATCGAGAGACGCGCAACTCTCTGTTTTTGTCTTGTCGTGTGCATGCATCAGGAGGCGTCAAGGTCTCTTTCAAACAGTCTCTTGAAGCCCTCGCCCCCGACAGCGAAGACGAGGCGCAGACCACAGACGAGGATGCAGCGGCTGCGCAGGGAGACCCCTGGAAGGCTCGGAAGGCGCGCGTGCGAGAACAACCGAAACTGAAGGCTGCGCTGGATATCCAGTCTCGCGAGGAGGGGGATGGGGAGGTATGTTCGCAGCTCCGGAGGCGAAAGCGCTAGTGCCTTTGCAGCCGAATCCACGCACGCTGCCGTATCTGCACACCCCAGGTCTCTCTCTTTGGGACGCCCAGTTGTTCTTTCAGCCTTATGGAGGGACAAAAATGCTGCTCTTACGCATTCTAGATGCCGTCTGCGGCGCAGTCGGAAAGCGTCTGCTGCGCTCTTCAAAGAGGCGGCCCCAACTCGCACTCCTCTGCAGCAAGCCGCGTTTTCCGAATAGCAATTAGTCCTTTAGCGCAGTCTGGGAGACCTCGTCAAGCGGCTGTGATGCATGTGTTCAGGTGCATCAAGAAGGGGCTGCCAAAGGCAACAAAAAGAGAAACCGACGCAGTGCAGCAGCAGCGGTGAGAAACGCAAGACAGCCCCAGTCGAGTCTGTACACCTGAGCTCGCTTACTCTCTTGCAGGGGTCCTGTCGTTCTGCGCGCCCTTTTTCTACCAAGGGGGCCCCTGGGCCTGTAGACACTTTTTTCTTTCGCGCGTCGATCCTGAGAGGTCCTAAGGTGGTCGTTTGGGTATGGACTTCAGGGTGCGTCCGTTCCGCCTTGTGCTCTTTGTGAGTTTTACAGTTCCCTATTTTCACGGACAGGGTATCTCCGCCGAAGGCAGAGCCTCTGCCGGGCGCAGCGGAGGAGGTCTTGCATAGCGATGAGGTAGGGAGAAGGAGTACCTGTGTTGAAATGCTTGCTAGAACACCCGGCGGGGCAGACAAGCCCTTTTGGGAGTGGTTCTTGGTCAAGCGTCGAGAGCGCTGCAGTAAAGCTGCTCGCTCAGTTCGCTTAGTTGACAAGTGCCCGCAGGGTCCACGGGTGTGCAAACCAAGGATGCGGTGTGAGGCTTGCAGGAGAACCTCCACTTTGACTTAAGAGAGGAACGGCAAAAGAAGAAGCGGTCCAAAAAGGCGACGAAATCGCAGGAACGCGTGCAGGCTGCAGAACGGCAGCAACAACAACAGCCTGGCTTCAAAGTATGCTTGCAAGCAGTGCTGCTAGAACCGCCCGCCACTCAGGGCTCCCCCTATTTTAGAGAAGTCTTCAGACTCAGCGTCTCTGTAGTGTGTCCATTCTTTTGCACAAGGCAGCACTCTTTGGTGGACGGGCTCTGTGAATGCTTTGTAGTTCGACTTCGCGGATCCACGCTTCAAACGCGTTCTTCAGTCGCATGACTTCGCTCTGGACCCGACAAATCCAGCTTTCAAGGTAAGAGAGCAAACCAGGAGTAGAGACTAGACTTGTTTTTTCCAATTACCTGGCGCGGCGTCCAGCTGTTGTGCCGCTTGCATACACCTGAAACAGGGTCCCCGCCGGAGGGATCTTTGAACAGAATCTCCATCTTTCTGTGTGCACCCTGCTAGCGCCGCTTTGGGAATGCAGCACATGAGTGTTGCTCGTCTGGATACGATCTCGATGTTTTTCAGAGCTCAGACACCACTCAGGAACTGCTACGGCTGCGCCGCGAGCAGAGCCACAAACACAAGTTCAAGGCTGCGACGCAGCCAGAACAGCTCAGTGAGCAACAACACCGCCAACAGAACAAGTCTTCATCTGCCAGCCGCAAGCAGCAGCCCCTCCGAGGCCTTCGTCTTATTTAACAGGGTGCTGCTGTGCTGCATCCGAGGGAGATGCATATTCGTGAGAGCCTTGAGGAGCTCTCAAAGAGGGGTGTTTAGTTGTGCGCGAGTCAGAAGAGGAACCTTTTTTAGAGCACTATTCCACACTGGTCCTTCTGAGCTATGTTATTGCTGCTCCTTATACTAACTTTGAGAGGAGCCTTTGATCGTGGAGTCTAACTGGTCTTTAGCCCTTGTGGCGATGAGATAGGCATTGGCGTTGCCCTCACCTCCTGACCCCTACCCACAGATTTGAAGGCCAAGCCTGACTGAACAGGCCGGGAGCTTGAATTCCTTTTGGCTGCGTTGTGCACTTAGAAAGCTAGGGCGCAAGGCATGCGACGCCTTCCTATATAATCGCCTCCCTAATGGCGCGGCTCCTAGCAGAGGCCTCGAAATACAGCGAGGCAGCGAAGTTAGGCCTCCTATGAAGCGTAGTGAACCTTCCTCGTTGCAGAGGTGTGGCTAAGTCTCTGACATGCGAGTCACTTCAGCTAATTCGTGGCTCTTTGGGTGGTCACGATTGCACCACATGACGTGCTACTTCGGACCCCAATAGGCCTCAGTTGCCTCAGGGTTTAATGACGCAGATTCAAGATGTTCACAGTTTTCGTCTAATCCACGTATATAGAAAGACCTCACGCAAATCGGAAAATGCTGCCTGTCCTCGTGAAACGCAACAACCAGCGGGACAAACTCGTCAGATCGCTAGGCATTGCCATGGGCCTCGTCCAAAACAACAAAGCTGCCACCGTGTTCTAGAGCCTGTAGGATTCTATTCAACCCTGTGCTTTAGAGCTGCGCAGTGATCATGCTTTTCGTATAAATTCCTGCAGAAGAAGGGAAAGTGGGTTTTTGTTCAGGGTAAGCGTGCACTTGCAAATGCATACGCAATAGGTCCAAGTATATCTATCTCATGCCGGAGGTGAAGTGGTTCGCTTGTGCTTCGCACTCGTGCCACTGGCGTCGTGATTCCAAACGCTGAAACCTATCAGCGGCTCTCCCGCGTCCAGAAGCAGAAGCTCAGGCGTTGTACGTCGGCGCAGTCTTTTGCTGCATCCCCAGAGCAAAGAAGCCGGGGGTGGGACGCGCTTCTTGTGCCGTCCACATCTTTGCACCTCTTTAGATTATCGCTCAGCAAAAACGCTGTGCCTGGTTCCCCATGCAGAGAGAGACTCTTCCTGCTTAAAAATGTAGGTAGCTAGGAATTTCTGGGAGTGCACAAACGATCTCAGCTTCGATCTACGCCTGAGGTATCCGCTTCGCTTTGCCATGCTCTCGCTTTCTCAGTCTCGCACATGGCCGCTCCTGTGTGACTCTAGCGTCCTACGACATCCTGAATGGTTTCGGAGGAGATTTGTCTAGGTGCTTCTACATCGCCACCGTCGCACTTCCAGGCTTTTCTGTCGATCTCGTTGATCATTATGGTGGCCTGGAGGGCTTCTCGCTCACTAGACATGGCCTCGCTACTAGATAGCCGATCATCGATGCAGACAATTATGTATACCTTCTTCGTGTGTGCGCCCAGTGAAAGCGGTTAAAAGAAGACCTGTCGCACCCCGGCCTACTGGAAGCTCTCCACGCCATTGTCATGGTTCTTGAGTCGTAGTTCTCCCACTCACGGCAACTATCGGCGGTTCAAAGAGCTCCCTATAAAAGTTCAGCTCCTTGAGGAATACAACACGGCAAACACCATGCTGCTGCATTCATGCTATTAGCAGGAGACAGGCGAGGTGCACGCCCAGCAGGCGTAGCTGTCTATGTCTCCTTCGTTGTGCTGAGAAGCTGACACGACGCCTAAAACTCATTTGTATCTCTAATTCTTAGTTGTGGACCTTGCAATGTGTATGACGCTCCGTACAAAAGCTCCACGGGCGAAGCGTTCATTCTTTTCACGTAACCTTTTACACTGTCCAGAGCATCCCTCGTTGGAGAGGCTACTGCGTAGAGGTTCAGTAATCCACGCTGCATGCCAACACTTTTCTCTGTAGAAAATAAGTGTGGATGTGCAGCAGTCGTACATCGCTGCCATCATTCTTTTGATATCCTCTAGATAGAGTTTGAGTCTAGGGTATATTTCTCCCCCACACCACCTGCCAGTCTCATTTTTGGCAAGGGTCTTTACCTGCTTCAAAGAGCTCGTTGCTCGTGACGCTGAGCCAGCCGTGAATCTTAACGGTGCGTCTCTTGTCTGCGCCAAGAGTAAGTCGCAAAAGGTCATCAGCAGCTGCCCCCCAAGGTCAGGGCTTCCGTCTTGCGATGCCACAGACTTTGCAGCACTAAGAGCATGGGTATTCATGTGAATAAGATGTAATGTAACCTCATGGTGAAACACACCTTTTTATGAAGTGTGGAAGCTCAGTAGCTTCGCATGACACCACCGGAGGCCTCAGTCTGCTCAAAGACCGAGAGACTCAGCGACACAACGCAAGCAACGCCTATAAGACACTTCAGGCAGGCAGAATCTGGGGGGCCAGCTGGCGTAGACCTCTGTTTTAGTACATGGATGACATGCATCCGTTCCCGACGAATGCAGCCTTCCTATGCGCACGCAGCAATCAATGGGCACAGGCGTAGCAGCTTGCAGGCTAACAGTGCTGGCCGACACTAAACAGAGCCTAGATGAAGCCGCTTGCTCTCCAGCGCTCAGTCCAGCAGGAACTGCCAAGACATTGAGCTAAAACGATAAGAGCCGCACTGTGCTCATGTCCAGTTCGGTGTTCAGGCTGCTGCAGCCCTCCAATTACGCATCCGTCACCAGTCCGGGTCTAAGGGCATGCCAGCCACATAGTTCTTAGGATAGGTAATTGGAATAGGGTAGCATTGCTTGGGTAGAAAGAGGTCGTCACAGGTCTGTTCGCACGTGCCTGCTCGCTACAATGATGAAGCGCTCTTTTTCAACCTGATTGGCATCGAATAAAATTGCTTTCCTAAATCGCCCGTATTTTTTCCCGGGTGACAATCCAGCAGCCCAGGCAGCAAGCAGGCACCGACCAAGGGGGGTTGAGGAGCCGCATATTGTGCACACGCTGCCGAGCCTTGATAATAAGTGGGTCCATCCTCTGTCGATGCCATTCGTCACCTAGCGAACAGTGCGACACCCCGTATATGGAAGCTGTAGCCACAGCAGCGGGAATTGCCACCTAGCCGCATTCCCTTCCATACCACTTCGGCGACCCTGCAAGTGGCTCAGGCCCTTTATAGCAGGCGTAGACACTGGAGCCAGGCAGTCGCTGTACTTTGCGTCTGCATTACAGAGAACGCGATACGTTCCGGCAGTAGAGGGTATACTAGTGCCCGCATTATATGCTTACAGGGGGGACAAGCAAAGCCTTGGGGGCGCCAGCAGCCGCCTACTCAGCAACTGAAATTCAGAAAATTGCTCATACATTATGCAGCTCATGCTGGCCTAGTGGCAGCAAAGGGGAGCCCAGGGGCACGACAGCATAACAAGAGGCAACCTTTTGGAGCTTTAAATTCTTGGGAAATCTAGTGCGTTTGCGTTGCCACACGCAGCGCTGGTTCCCCGCCCAAACAGACGCTGGATAGCATATTCAACAAGTGGAAAGTCGCATACGCACATGCATAACAACGAGCAACTACACACTAGGATACATGACGACAGAAAGCAAACAGCGTTGCACAAAGAACAAAGAGACAAAAGCGCAGGCAACCAAATACAAACGGCTTTGCAGTTCCAGTGTGACCGACTTGAATGGTGTGCAAAAGATTGCTCAGCGGGAGCAACGCCAGCCACACACGGCTCAGCATATTTACACGTGAACTTCCTTACAATCGAATTCACCGAAACGCACCAGAGCACACCAAAACACAACTACTCGTCCAAGCCCTAAAATCTAAAGAAGCCTACTACAAAAGTGCTTACGGCTTCAAGGCCTGTACGCATCTTGCCTGTTGATTCTGTCTTGGCTTCACAGTCCAAAAATCTATAAATTAGCTTGAGCAGGGTGCGTCTTCGTGCCTTTGATAGTGCGCTGGTCGGTTGGCCACTCTCTTTGACTATCCTTGCAACCTTGCTCTTCACCCTGATGCTCTTGTTCCAAATGCCGTGCCCATCGGTTCAGCCCCCCGACAATCCCTCTCAGCGTCTTCTTTGGCCCTCTAAAAGAGTCGCCTTGCACTTCCTCGCTTTTGTTCTACCCCTCTGGATGTCTGTTGTGCCGTTTGCCCCTATGCTCGTCTGATTATAACTCTATAATTCGCTCTTCCGACCCCCTGCATGCCCATCGTTTAACTGCTCTGCGTGCGGTCCCGTTCTGTGTCATTATGCCTGCCTATATGCATCCCTGCGCTGCCGTGCTTTAGCTGCGTATCGTTTCTGATTAATACGATATTCGGTCTTGTAAGTGCTCGATACAGCGCTCGCTCATCCTGAAAAGCGAACACCTGCCCTCCAAAGAAAGGTGGACATAAAAGATGCCCTTGAGTAACGCATTCCGCCTTAAATAGCGCGTCGCACACCGATGGCATACCGCAGTAAAGCGAACAAAGGAGGAGATTTGCAAGGCCACGCAGAGAAAAGTGCAGAGGAGCCAAAGCAAGAGCTGCAACCCCTAGGCAGGCAGAGCCACGGCGGGAGTGACGGGCAGACAAAAACAGGCGGACGGCACAAACCATCAGCCAACCTTACTGGAATGCAGACACATGAAGGGTTCTAGGAGTTGATAGGAAACGACTGCGGACGGAAGCACATTGGCAGGCAGACGCGTGAATTGACTGAGGACGGCAAACACATGTAGCCTGCACGAACAGATGGCCACGTGGGGAACACGTGAAACGCGACCAGACATCCATCTCTACGTGGAAGGACAGAGACGCCAGCAGCGAGGAGGATACCAATGTGACTGCCTTCCTGCCTTGCAGGCCTGAAAGCAGCGCAGGCGCACCAAAAGATCACATGCCCACCATGTTGACTGGTCGTATCCACTGCCACAGATGATCAAACAACAAAGGACCTTCTCTCGCTGATAAGTGCGAAAAAGGCATCAGGAGTTAAATGCTGGCAGGAGGCAAAGCCTCTTCCAGACCGCGGCGCATGAAAACACGGGCGGCTCTCAGAAACAAGCACAAGGGGAGACAGGGATTCAGCCCGTGCGCCGTATGCACCTCACACGCTCATTCAATCGCCTTTTTTTCACACGAGGAAAGGAGAACGGTGAGGATACTGCCCACCGAGGCTTCTAGACGCCACTAGATCACGGAAGGCTTTAGATGGTAGCCGCCATTTGTTCGTTTACGCCCCCCAAATCAGGCAAGCGATCTGCACCGGCAAAAGTTTCTAGCTAAGGTGTATCGTTTCAGACAGGACGGCCAGAAGCGGCGAGCAGTTTGTTAGGAATAGTTGCACCAGAACTGGGACGAAGCGCACAAAGACACGCAGCATCTTGCTTGAATGAAAAGACCCAAGTTCCAATATTTTGGAGCAACAGCACAGCGAAGCGAAAAGCAGTCGCAGTGATTCTGAGTCACTGAAACCGCCTCCAAAGGGCAGTGCCCGCTGAGCGACTCGCGCTGGACAAACAGAGACATCCGGCCTCTGAGTTCGACTGAGGACAGAGGCATTTTGATGGGGATTCCAGCTCTAACCCCTCCGTGTCGGAGACAGAGTCAGAGAACGCCACTTTCTCCCCCAGTCCCAGAGCTGGCAGCTGCAGCAAGGCGGACAGCACATCGTGGTGTGTTTGTTGCAGCTCATTTGGAGTCTCTCGGGAGGGGCCTCCCCATGAATGCAGATCTGCCCAGGGGCCCTTAAGAGCCCAAGGCAACAACATGACAGGCTCGAGAGGCTCCTCCGCCTCGTTTTGCTGGTCCTGCGCGTTCCTTTTCTCTGCTTCTGCTCTTGTTCCAGCCTGATCTAATAGCTGTCTGTGCAGCTGCATGAGGCGGCCCTCCAACTGGGGCGGCAAAGGCAGCACGGGGAACTCCGCGAAGGAACGGCTCGTGGAGGTGTACGTATAGTCCCCCACCACGGGATGACCAAGGGCCACCGCGTGAAGGCGCACAGAGTGCAGGGAACCTGAGGTACATCAAGAAACAAACGAATTCCCATTGGACCAACATGGGATCGACAGCTGGACCATACACCGGTAAGGGAAACCGCAATCGCTACAGGTCTATATTGTGCGTCAATTAGTCTACATATGTCCCCTTTTTCCCAATTTCTCTCCCCAAAACTGGCAAGCTCGCCTTCTATGAGCTGGACCCTGCAGAGGGTCACTTCTTTGCCGCCCACAGCGGAATGTGCGAGGGCCTCAAACACAGTGGAGGCCCTCAAGCCCTCCGCTTGGGTTCCTCCAAGACGCCAGACGCCTGAAATGCCCTTTGAAGGACGGCAGATTGAAGCGTTGACAGCCCACGACCCCAAGGAAAGACGGCCGCTGAGGGCCGCTAGCAACACTGCACGCATCTCCAGCGCCACGGCAACAACCCGCTATGGCGCCACAATGCAAGTAGAGGTTAAATAACCCCACATATGGAGCAACTGACCCATTTGGGAGGGAGCTATGAACCTGCAAGGAACCTTGGGCCTATATCCTTAGGCCGCACATGTCGATAGAGAGGCAGACTATTCGGAATACACCGGAAATGGAGGCCAGAGGCTGAACTATAGGAGGATTTGGATCAAACAGGAAAAAGCAGCTAGGTTGTAAAGGCAAGTAACAATAAATGGCGAAATTTTAACAGTCGTCCAACGATCAGGGGTTAGTATAGCGGAGGGCCCTTTGTGGGGGGAGCGAATGTACAACTTCGCAGGCGCTGAGAACACGGCCCCAAGTGCTCTTGCTCTCGCTACTCCCATCCATCGCTACTTGTTCATAAGTGACAGACATGCCTGTGCGCAGCTTCGCATTCACGTGCGGGAATGCCTCCCCATGAGTGCCTTTACGTGACCCTCCACTTCGCACTGTGCTGGCGATCAAGACCAGGTGTTGGTCTCGCCAATTACACATCTGCACTGCGTTGCTGCGCCTCCCTTGCATCTTCTGCTACGTAAGGGGCCCTGGGCGGCCGCAATGCCAACAAACCCCAACAGCGACCTCACCGGCTGCACGGCAAACGTTGCGCCGTGAACCTCCATGCCCGGATTCATTCGCATTCTACCCGCTTAGCCCCTGCTTCCCTGCCCCCTCCTCCCATCTAAAAGAGGGGAGTCCGGCGCCACACGCGCGAACGCCGCATATTGCTACGCCTTCTTGATGCTGTGTTTCCCCTGGTGGTTCAGCGTTCGAGAAAAAAATGTAGGCGCCCCGCAGAGTCCGTAGAAACTGATACAGCTTTCCAGAGAAAACGAGTGCCCGCATCGCAACCGTTTTACCACTTCAAGGCGGAACTTGAATCAGTTCCATCTCTATGCAGAAAAAAAGGGGGCCACATCCATAAGTTGCTGCAACTGCAGCTGCTTCAGAACAAACATGTGTCGTTCGAACGCCTACACCAAATTCTTTTCTAGAGACGCTACTGTGCCGAACCATCTATCCCACAACACAAACGCCGCATAATCCTGAAAAGCGGCACAGAGAGGCTGCACTCCACACCACCAGCAGCAATATGCATATTTCTGGTCACACCCCGTGACGCCTACATCGTCCCTTTCTAGAGACGCTACCATACTGAACCATGTATTACACAACGTAAACGCCGCTGCATCTATCCTAACAAGCAACACAAAGCCGCAGCCGTAATGGAGCTGCACTCTGTGCCAGCTTTCGTAACAAGAATATTTCTGGTCGGAACCCCCATCATGTGGTTGGGGAAGCCTCGCTGCAGCGAGCACCTGGTGATACTGCGTCCTTCCTCACAAATGGGTGTCCAGGCAGAGGAGTGCATGCCCGGCGACCCCATGCACATGCATACACACAAACACCACTAATCTTTGCTCCTTTGCAACGCACACTTCACTCCTTTGTTACACTCTTTTCCTTCGTGTCTAACTCCTAGAGCACCGAGTTCTCGTTATTCTTTTCGGGCCGCTCCTCCCCAGTCATGCCTGTTGCTATGCCCTCCCACCTTTCCTCTTAGACTGCCTTCGACGAATGTACCGCAATCTGTGCACTGCTTTATTCCACGTTGATTTTTTTTGGTGAAGCGGATTGCGTTGCCGGCACCTTAGGAATGTTGACCTCTAGCACTCCGTTGTTGTACGCAGCCTTGATGCCGTCCTGTTGCGTGCCTGGGGGCAAAGGGAAGGAGCGGTAAAAGCTGCTACTGCACCTTTCCTTCATGAACCAGTTGCCCTCTGTCTGGTCATGCTTGCTGCTCTTGTGGGCTTGAATCGTTAGCCGCCCGTCCTGTGCATCAACCGTAACATCTTCTTTTTGCATTCCAGGGATGTCCGCATGCAGCACCAGCTTGTCACCAGCGTCTCTCAAGTCCATCCGTGGAATGCAGCTGTTATGAGAGAACCAGCCAGGGGTGTGGTGTGGCCATGGCAACATGCTGTTGGTATTGCTGTTACCGCCCCAAGGTGCAATGTCTTGGCTCCGGTTCGCGCCTTGATGCAAGCAAGGCATGGACTGGCTCGTTCGCTGCTGCTGCTGAGGAGGGTTCACAAAGTCTGTGAGCCCAGGACGATCTGGCAACCACGCAGAGGGCCGCCACCAAAGCCCAGAAGAGAAGGGGCTTTGCTGCATCATCGCATCGAATCGGTTGATTGAGTCGCAAAGCTCACCGTAAAGTGCCTCGAAAGGCGAGCTGGGGCTTCTGGGAGCGTCCATCTTCTGAAAAAGAACATCACAACTCAAATACCCTTGAACTGAGTTGGTGTGCATGGCTTCAGTACGGGCGTTGTACATGTTACCAAACCAAGCATTTCGCGCGAAGCACACGCCATTTGTGCTAAAAAGAACAGCGCAAATCCAGAAAATATGCGAGTGAGTGCTAAGAGAAAAAGCATACTGTATTCAGATTTTTGCGAACATCGAGAAGGGGAAGCTGGACAACGAAAATCTATCTAGAGCGAGCAGGTCCATAGATGCCATGTTGGCTCAATGAAGAATACACAATGAGGAAAACGAAAATCGTTATTCTCAACACGAAAGCAGCAGAGCGAGATGATAGATAAGGGGCGTTAATTTCCTCCTCAAAAACGTGACTTCAATGCGTTCGCTGACAAGGCAGTGGCAGTGATAAAGCGTGTGCATGTGCGCGTCAGAACAATAATACGCCATCAATAAGCCATTTAATTGCGCTCAATCGCTCTATTTCATGTGATGAAGAGCCAAAAATGGTCAACTATGAAATGCTCAAAGTAGGCGTTTGCTTTCAGGTCAGGAAGGCGTAACAGTGGAATCTCCCACACCTGAGCAGTCTGAACGATGGAAGGAAAAGAGAGGGCGTAGAAATAGGATCGGCAAAATATCTAAATCGCATACGCATCTAGATAATGTCTCTGATCAAAGCAACGAGCGTTTAACCATCTGCGCACCCCAGCAGCTGTCGAGTCAGGCACGTTGATGTTCGTTCACCCCTAAGCCCCGTAGCTCTCTGAGACTTTCAGGCCAGAAATCGCCTGTATTTTACCGTTTAATTCCAAATATATTATAAATACCCGAATTTATTCTTAGAAAGGGTAGCACGTCCCCCAAATCTGCATCAAGCGAGCGCAGAAAAGACATACCACAATACGTCTCGGCAGAGGCATGGCGGTTAGTCCCTTTCCTGCCACTTCTAATTGCTGGCTTTGATTAATTTTCTTGGCTTAGAAGGCTCACACATCGAATAAGCTGCTCCTTTTAGCTACTAGCCGGTTGTGGTGTGTTCATCAAGACCAGTTTCCTTTCGGCTTGTTATGAGTAGTTATGGAGTCTCGAGAACCTGGTTATTCTGCCTGCAGCTGCACCTAACGTTCTTTTTAAAGCTATCCTCGATATTTTAGTGCGCCTTTGGCACAATCACTTGCGACGCTCTGGGTAGGCTGTGGATGTGACACTTCTCGAAGTATCATGAGGGGGCTAGTACAGACCAAACTATCAAGAATGATGGATAAGCTGCATCTGGCTCCTCGGAGTCGTCTGTGTCCCCCCTTCGCCCAGGAGCCATAAGGCCCTAGGTTCGGGGAATAACAAAGATTCAGATAGCTGCATCCGGAGAATGTTCAAGTGTAACGGGTTGTGCTGCATGCACACTCTATTGCACTAGTCGCTCTTACGGAAAATAAACCAAGTAAAATCCAGTCGGTTCACCTGTTCGAACATGCTATTTATTGTAGAATACTGGTAGCTCGCTATGGTAGGCACAATTTTGTGTACTTGTGGACCATTGGCTATGTGTAAGTAGCGCGTGCAGCTATGCGTACCCCGGCTGTCCCCCTTCTCTCAGTTCCGGAAGTCTGCAGGCCGTGCACAAGAGAATGGCAGAGGCCTTTTGATAAACATGCAGCAAATCTTCAAAAGGTTTGCATTGAGCCCCGGAGTTATGCGTCTCCCTAGAGAACTTTGCTGGAGAGTTGAAATATGTAGCACCCCATGGTTCGATGCAGTTGTTCCCCGCACATCCGCTGGTTGAAGAGGTAATGGAATGTCAGTCTTCTGTACAACGCTTGTATGACTTGGATCAAGTCATTTGGTAACCCAGTAGGCTGATTTCCTCAAGCAACAAGTGCAGCGGGATGGGAGAGCGGAGAAAACTCCTGTAGATGAAAGTAGGTGGCACACATCTCTATAGCTCGTAAAGCGTCATGACTTGTGGTCCGAATTAACGCTTATGAAGACATCTGTGGGCTATGCAGACAAGAAAAGTATGGCGGTCGTGATGATGGGCAGGTACTCGAAAATTTTATTTGCCATTGGGGCATGTACACTGCATCGAAGCGTTTTGATGAAGGAAAACGAATGCTTCTTCTTGCAGTTCTAACTGGGGCTCTAGTCACATACGAGAGCTCGTCTGCATGCAGGGATAATTACAGTCCAAGCCTCAATACAAGCCTTGATTCCTCCCTTAATTTCAAAGTCAGCTCGACAGTACGCTATGGGAGAATCGAAAACTGAAGAAAGAGAATCTTCCAAAAATAAAGCTTTTCGTCGTAAAGGCCACAATGCGGACGAACAAATCATTTATTAGTGGTTGATATCACTTGCACACGCAGACTCACTTCAGGTGGTCGTAGTTTGGGCAGCCACCGGGCAATTAGGGGACCAGCTGGCGGGTCCTCCGCAAGTGCTATATTACTCGAGGCTTCAAATGAAAAGGAAAGTGGACGCAGCCCCTTCGCCTTTGGCTGAAAGAGAAGAGCCAGGCCGGGGTTTAGAATCTTTAGATTTCGAGGCTGTGTCAACCGTCCCCACCTACCAGTTTTTGGTAAACGGGCAAAGGAATTCAGAAGAGACCCAAGTTCCTTAGTAGCCCTAGAGAGGCTCACAGCAACGTATCTGCTTTTATTGTAAGAAATTGCCTCACATCGTCCGAATGTGCTTCCACACGTAGAAATCCCAAGCATCTTGGTGATAAGATTTAGTGCAGCAAACGCGACTCCGTGGCAAGCAAACCAGGCGCATTGGTTAACTAGCGAGCCCCCTAAGCAGGCTGCGGCACAGAGAAGGGGCTTAAGAAGATGGAGCCGCACCTGGAGACCCACCAGGGTCTATTCTGCGCTGATACAAGTTCACGCTGGTGGTTGAAAAAGTTTTAGCCTTACTTGACACTAGCCACCAAGTGAGTCTGCCACTTGAGGAGACGGCGAAGATGTCCAAAGCGCCTGTTCCCTCGTGAGCGCGTAGTCCCTAGGACGCAGCCATGTTGACGGTCGCAGAACGCAAGGGTGAAAGGCAACGGCAGTCAAATGCAACATCAAATTGGAATTGGGTTTACCAGCTTGGTCCATGAATCCATTATGAGAAAAGGCTATGGGCTGTAGATGGGGTGTGAAACATGTTGGCATTATTTGTATGGGGGTCATTGTACTGTCCACATCGACCATCAGTCGTTAGTGTACCTTACTAATAGCTTTCAAACTTTTAATAATTCTGAATATGTTTGATGGTTTGGCAGTCCCTGCAGTACGCCGCTAGAATGAAGTTTATTGCGAGTACCACGTGCTCGCCATTACTATTGTGCTGCACAACCCGCCTTGTCTATGACCTTCTACGATTTCTCTCAAAATCGCGTGAGTCTTCTGCTTTCGACGCTCATGAATGCGCGACTATCCCCAATACCAGAATAGCAAATAGGTGAAGCATTGGCTTTTTGTGGATGACCTGTTCTTTGAAAAACAAAGCGGGTGCTCCGTCACGTGTACATACTGACTTCGTTCGGCGATATTTTCGTGTGAAAGGCACATTTTCCTGTCCTTTCAGGCTATGAGGGATTCACCCCATAGTGGGGAAACCCTAACAGTACTTCTGGTGGAATAGAAGGCGTCCCGCGGTAAACGAATATGCACTGTGATCCCCGGACCATCAGAAGCTGAAGCCCCAAATTTCTCCTAAGCCCGGTCTTTTGCAAAGAAGTTCATTTCTCAGGTGAATTTGAAACGATCTGACTATGACAGTTATTCCTGTACTGCCCAGGAGCATGGGTTGGAATGGCGTATGCGCGGTCGTCGACAGGGTCAGAAAATATTACCACTTCATCCCTTGCTCTAGCTTTGTACCCGCTCAACAGGTCGCCCAATCATAAACTCAAATCTAGCTGCTTCGAGGACTCCTGCAATACCATTGCAGACAGGAATTCGAAGCTCGTGAGTGCTTAGTGGCATGCTTAGTGACTCACCTCCACATTGGCCGAATATGACCACTGCGAACCACCCTGAGGCAGCTGAAAAGACAGAGCGAACCAACCGCACTCTTCTGCAGCATTTGCGGCTCTGTGCTCACAAAATCTGTATGGTTGGCTTAGGTTTCTCTCTTTCGGTAAGTGGGGTCATGATATACCAGTAGAGTTTTTTACCCATTGTTCTTTCGCACCCCTAGTCTGCACTGAGGAGCTCCTTTCCGACCATGGCTTTGACCTGTTGGCCTACGGTCAGGAGCTGCCCTTATCAGCGGAGGGATTCAGATAAGAGCTGGCTAATGCACGCAAATGTACGGCTAAATTATGGTCATTGACGCCCGAGCGTGTGTTTGGACAGTAGAGATTTGGCCCTAAATGATTGATGGGTTCTAAGAGGTGCTGTAGAAAGTGACTAGACGGAATTTGCCGCCCGATGGCTAGGGCTGATTGTCATCCTCCTACGACTCAATGCTTGTTCATTTTCTATCTACTTTGAGGTCCTTATTTTTGTCAGCGTGCGTGCTCTCAACACTCTGTTTGGTGCACAAACACTCTCACTTTGTTGTCTCTACATGTTTCTTCATGCCTCTTTCGGGGCTTTCGAAATCGACTCTGCTGCATGCATCTGCTATCTCATGCAGAGATTGTTCTCTAGGGGAAGGAGGTACTGCTAAAATAGTGTGTATTTTGATATCTATCTCACACTGTGCCCGTCCTCGGTTTTCGTAGTGTGAAGAGGCCCACACAAATGAGCTTCCAGCGTCATCCAGCTAACGCGTCGCCGTGCTTGTGCAAATTTGATCTTTTGGTTGTTGGTAAGCGTGCTTCTCTCTAAGCGTCTCAAGTATATATCACTTACGCGATAAATGCCCACTTTACTTTTCTTGTTCGCACTGTTTTCGCGTTCCTGCCTGCCCAGAAGTGGTGATAAGGAGGGGCTCTGCACTGTCGTGCACGCAGTTGTTTTCGATGTACAGACACGGGCCAAGAAGGTGTGTGCGAAGAGACG